GTAGGTGCCATACCAATCATAGTTTAAACACTGGGTAGGTGCCATACCAATCATAGTTTAAACACTGGGTAGGTGCCATACCAATCATAGTTTAAACACTGGGTAGGTGCCATACCAATCATAGTTTAAACGCTGGGTAGGTGCCATACCAATCATAGTTTAAACATTTTTGAATCCAGGATCATTGTTCTCCAACAGCTTCCTTCGATTTCTTTCTTTCGGTAATCCATCAACTGAATCAAGCTTAATTAGAATCTTATATTCCTGGTTATGATGAATTTTTTCTTTCCTCAGCCAGTTTTTCCTTCCTTTCATTTCCTGTATTACCATTTAGATTCTCAATCTTAACTTTTTGAGCTTCTTTTTTCCATCTTCTTCTTCAGTTCATAACTTGCCATCGTTGAAGTTCCCTTTATTAATTGAAATATGCTGATTAAAAATAATTTATAACTTTGTTACTCAGATATATGTATCGTTTGTAATTCTCAATCCAAGGTTGCTCTCATCATCAAATATTTTTTATTTCAGATGTGACTATTCAATCACTGATACAGAGATTCTTTCTACGAATGAATCTCATATGACCACTTTGACAATCATGCTCTAAATGTGGATTCTTTCTACCTGAAGATTACAAATTGAACATTTCTTTCTAATCATGTGTACTTCCTCATCATATTGGTTCTTTTTTCACATGTCTATGATGTGCAATTTTTTGGCAACATATTCAATAAACTTTGTACTTTTTGATAAAAACTTTCATTTTTCTCATTGAAAGTAACCAAGTTTGGAAAAAGTTTGTTGTCTATTATATATTTAATAATTACAGCAGAACTAAAAATGACAACATTCCGAGTAGTGAGGACATTCTATACTTTCATAAGTGACTGTTTGTCAATAAGTGGCTCCTCATCTGTTAACTCATTTGGTATTTTAATCTTTACCAGTTTAGGGCTTAGTACGTCCATTAAAGAGCCACTTTTAATAAACTGTTACTGGAAAGTTGTCAATATTTTCTCACACAACAAATGTTCATTTTGCTGAGAATCCTTGATAAATTCATAAAATAACAGAATTCCTAAATGAAATGATATTTATCATGTAGCAGACGTAAATATTTGAAAACAAAGCCATTTTTGCTGTGAAAAATTTAACCAAAGTGAAACATGACTCAGTCTTCAACTTATCAATGGTGAAACATTAAGGTACAAGATGACTCAGTCCTCAACTTATCAGTGGTGAAACATTAAGGTAAAACATGACTGAGTCTTCAACTTATCAATGGTGAAACATTAAGGTGAAACATGACTCAGTCTTCAACTTATCAGTGGTGAAACATTAAGGTGAAACATGACTCAGTCTTCAACTTATCAGTGGTGAAACATTTAGGTAAAACATGACTGAGCTTATGTTTGAAATTATTCCAAACTTCCTGATCTTATGTAATGTCCAAACTTTGAAATATAATGTCCTTTTTCTCAGTTCATAGTAAAATTAAAGGTCAAAGGTCCAAATGACAGCTGTACATCTTCAGTAGATTTTTGACTGCATAGGTAAACCATTTTAAAGAACATAACAGTTTCCAGCTTTTGGTTTTTAATGGTAAGTGAACAAGGATTGTCACCTGTATAACAATAACATAATAATGTTAAGGACTTTTGTACTTGTTAATGGACTTTTCACACATCGAGAGTATTCTTGTGAGTATTATGTACAAATTTAGCCGGCAGGTCAGAAATTGGATTTCTCATTGTTATTATCTTTGCCAAATACAGTATATATTATCTTAATTGTCAGTTTACATCTTCAAAGAAACCGAGTTTGGTGTCAGTGGTTGACGAAAAACACATTACAGGGATAGTACAAAAAAAAGAAGAATACATAGCTTATTGTTGAATGTAGGGATATGTTATACAGTATGGAAACAGTTGCTAAGTTCAAGAGTTTCAGCATACAAACAACAGTGAAGAATACAACAACTGTTGAAGACTCAGTCATGTTTTACCTTAATGTTTCACCACTGATAAGAAGATAAAGCATGTAAGAAACAAAGATTTAACTGTATAATGTTTACTTTCATCATAGTATTACCGAAAGCTTGTAAAGGTAAAGAATAACATTTAAGTATCTTTAGAAACTTTTGTAATTATTTCTTTTACCTCTGGTTTTTTTGGGGTAAAATAGGACACATCCTTTAATATTAAAAAAATATAAACAAATAAGATTCATTTGACACCTTATATTTTTACTACATGATACATATTGACGGCTTTCTTCTTGAAAAAAATAAAATAAAAATAGCTTTCCTGCTTAAGTCTTACCACCTGGATCAGCCAAAGAGTGAGCCAAAATGTTGATGCAGCTTGTTACTCCCGGAAAAAAGAAAAGCTGATGGAAGAAAGAAATATTTCTGTTTTCAAAAAGCTTTACATTTGTGTAAAATCCTTATATTGAAAAAAAATAGTTAATTAATACTATGTAGTATCTTTATAATAACTGAAAACATCACTGTCTTCTGTGTCTTTTTCTATCTGAACTTTACACTAACATTATATATTCTATTATAAGGTTGAGTACAAAATTTTCTAAGTGAACACGTATGATCAAAACTGGAGGATATCTTATTGTAGTAAGAATACTACACAAAACAATTGTGCTAGTTTATTTACAGTTAGGTGGGAATAACAAATATTAGTTAATTAGACTTTTCTCGATACGATAATTGAATCAAAATAACTGGTCCTAAAGGCATTCTAATACTCTATGTTAGATTGGATTGGGTCACATACTTCAGCTTGGTATATATACAAGTATGTATATATGCATTTAATTATTTAGAAGTAAATTTGTTTTCTATTGATAGGATAAATG